TGTATAAAATACTGGAAACAAACCTGTAAAACCTAGAAGCAATCTTTACAAAACACATTATCTAAAACTGGGTAATAATTCAATGGAAAATATGAAAAGATAAGGGTCTAATTGAAAGGAGCTCTGGAATACAGTGTCCAGGGTGTGGTATCTTGCAAATGTCCCTCTGCTTGTTTTTATCGTCCGTGTTATTCTGGATTGTCTTTTCTCATTTTCGCCTCTAAATGCAATGGTGTAGAATTTGTTTTCTTTTAAAGTATAATGTTGTTGTATTTTGTTTTGTCTTTTGCTCTAAGGCTTTGAAATCTTACACCTGGATTTAACCTGGCAGGTTTGGGAATGCAGTAGAATGGGTGGGGGTGGGGGGGTAGTGGGGGGAATGGAGGGTGGGAGGGGAGGGGATGAGCGGTTCAGATCCCCTCCCTGCCTGATTTAGTACCTCTGTCCTGAGCACAGGGTCCCAGAAGGTGGGATGCAAGGAGACTGGGGGTCATTTGGCCACGTGGGGGCGCTGTGGCTTCACAGTACTTCAGGGAACTGTGTGTGTGTGTGTGTGTGTGTGTGTGTGTGTGTGTGTTGGGGAGGTGGGAAGGTGGATGCAGTGCTCTGGGAACTGGTGTAGGAGAGCAAGACTGAAGAGAATATCAGCTTGCCTGCTTGGATTAGAAGGGGGTGGGGTCTGGTCACGTGGGGGTGAACACAGACTCACTGTCCAGCGAAGGGAAGGCGCCCTGGGTCTCACGCTGCTCAAGAAGAAAGCTTCTCTGCTCCTGCGAGGGCAGTGGACAGTGGAGTGGCGGGGGAGTGGAGGCAAAGGTGGAAATCGGTGTCTGGTTAGGGGCTGGGGCTGGCAGAAGTGGAGTCAGGTGTTCCTGGCTCGCGGGAAGGGTTCTTGGCCCGACCCGGCTTCAGCTTCTGGGCTGTGCAGGGCAGGGCTGGCGCATGGTGCTCAAATTTACAGCCTGGGTTCTGCCATTGGGTGCAGTGGGCCGGGTGGCCAGCAGGGAGAGCAAGATCGGAACATGATAAAGACTCCTGTCAGGGAGCCCAGAGCTATGGCCTCTTCGCTCACCCCAGGAGGCTCCACATCCAGCTAGGAGATGCCAGGTCTTCCCCATGCTGCCCTGGGGTTCAGGGTCCTCTGCTGTCTGGCCCTTTGTCTCCTGACCTGGGTACAGCGGGAGAGCCTGCACTCTGCCTTCCCGGTCCCTGAACACGTCCGCTGAGGATGGCTCTGCCCAGTCCTTAGCTTCTGTCTTCCAACCCACAGGCTCTGTGGACGCTGGAGTCCTGCAAACCCCCAAACACCTCATCCAAGTTAAAGGACGGCAAGCAACACTGAGATGCTCCCCAATGTCCGACCACCTCGCTGTGTACTGGTACCAACAGAACCTGGACCAGGGCCTCCAGTTCCTGTTTAGTTATTACAACGGTCACGAGAGAGAGAAAGGAAAGTCTGTGGAGCGATTCTCAGGAGAGCAGTTCTCAAACTCCAGCTCTGAGCTCACCCTGGGGGCCTTGCAGCTGGGGGACTCGGCCCGCTATCTCTGTGCCAGCAGTGAGGCACAGCGCTGCACAGTCCCTAGCCTTCTGTACAAAATCATTTCTCCTCAGTCTAGAAGTGTCCAGGATGGCAGATCTGCCAGCCAGCTGGGCTCGGGCACTGGAAAGCTCACGGGCCTTTCCCAGATGTTTGCTGCTGCTGGCCTGTGTGATGTGTTTAATACCCACAGAGCTGGCACCAGTTACGCATCACTCTACCCATCTGTGCACCTGCAGGAAAGCATGGGATACAGTCCTTGTATCCCATCGCTGACTGACACCTGTTCCTATAACATGTGTGGGCCCTCTCACCACTCTCCTAGAGATCTTTCCCCTCCTCTGATATCCCCTTCTCAGATTCAAAGTAGTAGAAAGGGAGTCTTATGTACCACACAGGATTATCACGAGCCACTTTCTAACGAATCTAAGAGGCATACGATGACTTCAAGGCCAACTGTATTCAGGGATCCTTCATTGGGATGAGAAAGATAGGCACATTTCACTGCCCTGTAGGCCTCTTGCCACAGCACAGAGAAGGCCACGGGATGTCTTCAGTGGCAGCTAGGAGTGGCTGCCAGTTCTGAAGCTGCAGAACAGAAGGTTGGAAGTGTTTGTTAGGGAAAGTGCAGCTGGGCTGAGCAGGAGGTGACGAACCACTGCCACTCCTTAGCTGCTTCTGTTCTGTTATTCAGCAAGCATCTTCGGGTCCCCTACTTTGTACAAAGCATTGTTCACAAGCTATGGGACATGGGAAAAAGTGGAATTTTAAAAAAGAAAAAGCTATGGGACATGGAAAAAAGTGGAACTTTTAAAAAGAAACAAAACAAGGAAAATAGAAAAAAGTGAGTTACCCAGAGTAGTTTCCATAGTTTTTGAATTATGAAGATCAAATTTTCTTTTTTCTTCTCATTTTCTGTTTCTCATCCTACTTCTCTCTGCCAGCTTTTAACTATTTTTATTTTTTCCATAATTTTATTGAGAAACAAATATCAATGAGACAGTTTCAAATCAAATTGGTAGGACAGTTTCGATAATGAACACATTGCATACTCTCTTCCTAGTGGTTATTTGCTGTACCAGATGCAGACATGATATCCTATTTACAAACACTATTCGAACAAATCCCTCTATTCATTAAGGATAGATATATAGTTACATTCTCTTAAATATTTTTATTTGTAGCAAAAATATTTCAATGAATTCTACCTTCTTAACAGATTTTTAAATGTACAATGCAATCTGTGGTTTACACGTAGGCATGTTTTACTGATCTCTGGAAATTAAGTATGGGGTAGAACTTTATAGCCTTCAACATTTGACTGCTTTGTTCTGCCACACAGGAGTGTCTGAAAAGCAACAATCTATTCTTTGTTTCTAGGGTTTATTTTAGATACCTCCTTTAAATGGAATGATGAAGTAGTGGTTTTTTTGCAACTGACTTATTTCAATGAACATGATGTCCTCCAAGTTCATGAATGTCATGCCATGTAGCAGTTCTTCCTTTTTTTTAAAAGGCTTCATGATATTCCACTATATGCATCTACCATCTCTAAGATCTGCAGTATTAATTAGCTAACATTGGATTTTTCCTATGAAAATCATTCATCACTCAGGCAGTAGGGTCAGCTGTAGACTTGCAAGTATGGGGTCCATTAACATCCATTCTGCCTTTGGTTCTGCACTCTGGGGAAGTCTCAGAAAAAAAAATAATGCCATCATTTTCCAACAATTTTCTGCATACCAAGAAGCCTTCATCTGCAAAATTTCATTTGTAAATTCAGTTATCATGGCAAATACTAACAAGGAAATCCTATTAGGGTTCTCATTCCCTAAGCAAAGGAATTGACCTAAAGTTAAATAATTGGACCAAATAGAACAGCTACTGTGATACAGAACCAGAATTTAACTTCTGGTCTAAGTCTCATGTATCTAAGTCTATGCTCTGATGCATTTTCACAGAGAGGCCACTTTTCAAAATCAGAATGCTGTTCCTCTTATCCCTATCACATCTGATGACATTAATAGAATTCAGTCTTCCCAAGAGTTAGGGATGTAGACAAAAGGATTTGCGTAGTGTGATACACATTAGGCTCTGATTCCTCTTCCAGCCCAAGATCATTGAGTCGGAAGTCAGCTTCTTGACATATTTGTTGGGGTTTTTCACCTACAAAACGATACTAGCAATGCCTGTCTTTGCTAGTCAGAATTTTCCAGAAAAGCAGAACCTTTTGCAGCTACCAGTTTCTCTGAGGAGGGCTTGCCCCCTGCAGTCACTGGAGCTCACAAATCCAAAACCTGCAGGGTGGTCTGGTGGCGCTGGCTGGAGAACGAGGGTGAACTGGTGTTTCACTTCTGCAGTGTCAGCTTGACCGTTCTCTGAGGGAGGGTCGGCCTTTCTGTTTCATTTGCATCTTCAGTTGTTCAGATGGAGCCCACCCACATTAGGGAGGGTGATCTGCTTCATTCTATGTTCAAAATGTTCATCTAATGCTAAAATCTACTGATTCCAATGTTAATCCTCTTCAAAAATACCTTCAAAAAATACTCAGAATAGTATCTGGCCAAATGCTCTGGACACTTCAGGCCCAGGTAAGGATCACATCATCCTCAGAGAGGCATAAAACTTTAACAAACATAAAGCACACAGCATGTTTTCACCCCTTTACTAATCTTAGTCTTCTCTGTTCACTGTCTACAAAGGCAAACACGGAAGCATATTGCCCAGTCATCATGAAGCTGAAGATGTGAAAGTAACAGAAATAAAAATATATGCATGTGATTTATTATAAGAAATTAACTGCAGAATGTAACATACATTCCTAGCCAGACCTTTAAAATCAACTTTACTGACATATAAAGTATATCTAATACCCATTACCCATTTTAAATGAATTGCTCAGTGATTTTTTGAGACATACATATGATAAAAAAAAGAGACATACATATGACAATACAAAGAAGAATTTAGGGCTAGGGAGATAGCTCAGTAGAAGAAGTGCTTGCCTGGTAAGTGCAGGGTCCGGAGTTCAATCCCCGGTACTGCTAAAAAAAAAAAAAAAAAAAAAAAAAGGAGAATTTGGACAGAGGAGTCCAAACCTGTTGGAAAGTTATAAAGATTTTTTCTACTATTCTAGACTACATAAATACTTAGAATATTAAAACCAGTGTGAGAGTGAGGAATGGTATTGCAGAAATATAATAAACAGGGACTTAAAAATGTTTTTTCAAAAAGTCAACAATAGCTTGTGTCAATTCAGACAAATGTGTCCCATTGTAAGACCTGGGTTAGGAAGATGCATTTATTTTAGATTTGCTCCTGAGAGGGGAGGGGTGTGTTCCCCAGTGACAGGAAACTGTGGTGCCCAGGCAGGGAGGTGAGGGACTCAAATGACTCCTCCTAAAGAGACCAGCCTCCTTTGTCTAACAGGCTCATAAGAGTCCTCTGTTCTGCCGGCCCCATGAGCTATAACTTTCTTTGCTGTGTGGCATTCTGCCTCCTTCAGGCAGGCAAGTCCTGGGCAGGGATTTGGCGTGGGATTTCAGGTCCCAGACCAACCCTTTCCACCGAGGTCTCAGCACCAGCCTTTCCTCTTTCTCTGCAGGTCCAGGAAATGCTGGCCTCACTCAGACCCCCACAGCCCAGGTCCTGAAGGCAGGCCAGCGCATGACACTGAGCTGTGCCCAGGACTTGAAGCACGACAGCATGTACTGGTACCGCCAGGATCTGGGGCTAGGGCTGAGGCTTGTCTATTACTCATTTGACGTTAACCTCACTGAAAAAGGAGAAGTCCCTGATGGGTACACGGTGTCCAGATCCAGTAGCGAGAACTTCCCGCTCACCCTGGAGTCGGCCAGCCCCTCCCAGACAGCGGTGTACTTCTGTGCCAGCAGTTACTCCACAGTGCTACACAGCTGCCTCTGCTCTGCACGTTAAGACCAGGGCAGCCCTGCATCCCAGAACCCCGTGGCATCCTGGGCAGGGATCTCAGCACAGGGAGGCTGACACGCCGGCGACGCTGGGTTGGCATGTCGATGTGCATCTCCAGACCGTCTCAACCAAGCCTGGGCCCAGTCTGGATACAGAGGTCTCCACTGTTGCTTCTGGTGGTTCCATGTGACTGACTTTTCTCTTCCCAGGCTGGAGGTGACTCCTTCCTGCATGGAACAGGGTCTACCACTTGGTCATACCTGGGTTCCTTGTTATGGGAGGAACTACATCACCTCTCTGCAGAATTCTCCCCCAGCCTCATCCCTCTCTGCTGCTGCCCACCTTTCCCATGAGGACAGCTGTGCTCCGGATCCCCACCAGCTCGTCCCTCTTCCCAGCCCTCTAGTCTTTCTATGCCATCATGCAGCCAGGCCCTCATCCAAGCCTGGCTCTTCCGATAGCAGAGATGTCAATCACCCCTCCTTTGGCAGAGAGCTTTCCTTTCCGTAGTGGCTGAGACTTACCCGGGCTTTGGGGCTCAGCGATGCTTCTCCTATCCTTCCTTCCACTCCCAATTTCCCTTCTGCAACCTCACAAGGCCTCGTGTGCCTGCTACTCAGTGGAATTTAGCACACTTAGGATTTTTCCAGAACTTGCATGATTATTTTTCTATCTAACTAGATTCTAAGCACTGTGACTGTCCTCTTCCACACTCACCTCACTGTGTTGAGAACCCATTTTACAGAGAAAGGGTGAGTGGATGACAGAGCAAATGGGAGGAAGAAGCAATAGCAAATTCCCCCAAGGTACACAAGGACCTGGCAGAGGCAGAATGTTAGCTAGAAGTCACAGCCCTTTCTTTGATGCCGATGGTGGGTGCTGGAATATGCCGGGCAATCTCCTGTCCTTGGTTGACGGGTCTGGCTTCCTTTGTGCAGTTTCAGGACTAGACTTCTTTCCAAGTCGTTTCTACCCTTCAGTCCTTTCCTTCCCAAGGAATCTAGCCAGGTCCAGGGTCTATTTCCAGAGCTTCATCCTGAAGTTTTCATTCCTGGAAACCACTTCTGGTATCAATAACCATATAAAATCTTCATCAGTGGAATGGAGACATTAACAGTAATGTGGGGAGAAAGGTTTGTGATATGAACTAGGCCTTACACAAATGTGGGAAAAGTAGAGGAAAAGCAGGCTGGAAGAGAAAAGTTGAAAGTTGGGGAGCTAGCTGGCAGCCAGGGCTCTTGGTGGGGCTCAGGAGCACAGGCTGGAGCTATGGGGGCCAAGGCTCAGGGCAACCAAGCCACCCAGTGAGACTAAAGCAGGAACAGGAGAAATCCATGGAAACCTGAGTCTAGTGAAGCTATTGTCTCTCTGGGGGCTGCCTCTGTGGGTCTATGGCTGCACAGGCCTCACTGCTGTTTGCCAGCATATGAGGAGGTAAGATAGGCATAGAGGCATAGAGCACAGGGGAGAGAGAGAGAGAGAGAGAGAGAGAGAGAGAGAGAGAGAGAGAGAGAGAGACATAGAGAGAGAGAGAGACAGAGAGAGACAGAAAGAGGCAGAGATAGGGAAAACAGAAACAGAGACAGAAAGTGACAGAGAGAGTCAGACAGAGTGACATAAAGACAGAGACACAGAGAGATAGAAACAGAGACAGAGAAGCAGACAGAGAGAGTCAAAGAGATGGATGGAAAGAAAGAGACAGAAAGTAACAGAGAGTGACAGACAGATAGAGAGGCACAGACAGAGACAGAAAGAAACAGAGACAAAATTTATTTATTTATTTGGCACAGAGGCTTGCTATGCAACTAGGACTCATAGGGATCCTCCTGTCTCAGCTTCCCAGCACTAGGATTGCAGGCATGTGCCACCATGCCCAGTTTCAGTGGCTGGCATGGTGTGCCTAGTGTTCCTGGGCCATATGGTACCAGGGATCCAACTTGGATTTGCGCTTGTCAAGCAGGTGCTTGGACCACTGAGCTATCTCTCCAACACCAGTGAGAGAGAGAGAGGGAGAGAGGGAGAGAGAGAGGGAGAGAGAGAGAGAGAGAGAGAGGATGCTGTCAAAATTCTAAATGAAGGCTTCCTTGACCACTCTAACCCCAAACCATTATGGACATGTAGTTTCCAGACTAAGTGATTTTACTGAATGCCATCTCAACAGAGACATCTCCCAAAATGGTCACTTGCACTCACCCACCTTCTTGACCCTGCCATGGTCTGCAGTGTCCTACCCACCTACGCCTTTGATGGCAGGTGAGCCATGCTCAACACTGGGACGTCCCCCTTCTAGACCTTCCTCTCACGACTGTGGCTCCAGTTGTCCTCCAGGGCTTGCTGCTAGCTTCTCCTTCGTGGGCTGCCATGGGGCTGGAGCCTCACCAAGCAATATTCATTAATGAGTAACATGACCTGAAAATCCACTCAAAGAAGAATAGACAGCTGCAGAGTGGAGAACACTTATTTTTTCTCTGGATAAGTTGGAACTAGCAAATAGACTGCAAGAGTACTTGTGCTCCTTAATTGGCTTCAGCTGACCAATGGAGAAACAAATCTCTGAAGTTGCGACCCGGCATCTTGGTGTTTTTCAAATGTCAGGTCCAATCTATCCAATCCAGTGCTCAGAACTATAAAAGTTAGTGAATTTCTGCAAGTGAAGAAAGAGGTCTGCCATAGATTATGCAAAGCATTCATCTGTTGGATCGGCAGGGAAGCATTCCCGTGGATAATCCCATTTTTCACTTGGCATGGAAATTTGGAAATTTCCACTTTGAAGCATGACATATTCTTGAATTCAAATGTGTATGAAGTCTACAAAATGGAGTTCTGGTACCTAAGATATGTCCCGGAGTTTTGAGTGAGTGGGAAAAGGAAAAAAGAAAGAATATTTTTAGATTTAAATTTTTATGGTGAAAATGCATATGGATGGGTATGCATAATCTATAGACATCCTTCCTCGCTTCCTGTGAAAGAACATAGAGTGTGAGAACTCCGTGTCTAGAAGCACTGAGGCTGAAAATTATGACCTATAAATTGAATTTGCTAAAAAGAAACTTATAAATATTTGCATCAGTCACCCTCGTATTTTATAATGTGCATTGTGTATTGCGGAGGTCGTGGGGGATTGGTACAGGAAGTGACGTCATTGTGGGGGACCGCTGTGTTGGGACAAAGAATTCCCTTACTTCTCTGTCTGACCTGGGGAGCATCTGTCTTAGCTGACCCTGCCATGGACACCAGGCTCCTCTTCTGGGCTGGCCTCTGTCTTCTGGGGACAGGTTAGTCTGCAGAACACCAAGCAGTTACCGTGTGTGTGTGTGTGTGTGTGTGTGTGTGTGTGTGTGTGTGTTCTTGCATATGTTGGTATATGCCTGAGTAGGTTCACATGAGTGGGGTGATCGTAATGTTTTTCTCATTCTATTCCTAACTCTGTCTTCACAGATTACGCTGAAGCTGGAGTCACCCAATTCCCCAGTTACAGAGTCACAAAGAAGGGACAGAATGTAACTTTCAGGTGTGATCCAATTTCTGGTCATAGTTTCCTTTACTGGTACCAACAGATGCTGGGTCAAGGCCCGAAGTTCCTAATGTACTTCCAGGATGAACGTTCGGCCGACACCACAGGGATGCCTTCAGCTCGCTTCACTGCTGAGCGGCTGGAGGCCACCTTCTCCAATCTAAAGATCTGGAGTGTACAGCAGGAGGATTCGGCTGTGTATCACTGCAAGCAGCCACAGTGAGCCATGGCAGCCTCCTTCCTGTTCACGAACCTCCTTCCCTCCTGGCAGCTCCAAGGGACCCTAAAGAGAGCTCTGTTTTGAGTAGAAAGAGACCACAGAAGAGCTGTGATCGTCCTGACTGTGAACGAGGGTAGAAAGAAGCCCTCATGACTGCTAGGTTGTAGAAATCCTCAAGCAGTCCAACACTGCTGGTGAAGATCAGATGTCCCGGCACTGGTGGTCAGAGCTGTGACAGGCGGTCTTTTCTGTGACTGCGAAGTTGTGGCTCACCTACATCATCTTTGGTCCGTGCACAATGCACCTGTCCCCAGCCTACCCTGTTTGTTGACCCCTCTGGTTGCTGAAAGGGTGGAGGCTACAAAAACACTCCTGCTCAGGACCCTCTTTCAACTCTGTCCCAGGGAAGAAACTTTGCTTTCCTTTTTAAAGCTAAAGTCTTTGCAACATTTGTGATGATAAATTACTAAACACAGCAATGGCGAGGATAAAACTTCATTTCTTCCACCTAGTTTGCCAGTTCCTTTCTTACATTTGCTTTTGTTTTACAGTGTGTCCATTCTGACACCTAGACTGGAGCGTGATTTTATTACCACTCCACATTCTTAATTACCTAAGTCGGTCTCTTAAGATTGCTTTTTAAATTAACTAGGCATATTGATATATTTTATATATACATAATGATCACATTCATTATAGGGAACTTGCACCTCTGCATGGTATTTCTTGATTCTTCTTTTTTACCCGTTCCCCTCCCTTCAGCCCTTCTTCACCTCCTTTTATTTACAAAATCTTTGGGTTGAGTTTCCCTTCTTTCCTTATTTATTTTCTCCCCCACTAGTTCCCCTTCCCATTTGAACATTTTCTTCCCTATTTCAAAATATCTGTTATGTATTGTGGTCCTTATTTACGCTTTCAGTTTCTCACACCAGGAAAACAATGCAGTAGTTACAAGTCTGATTCATTTCACTTATCAGTACGGCCTCAGTGTGCACCCGCTGACCTAGAAATGGCTCAGGTTGGTCCCTCTTTATCCCTGAGTAGTACTCCATTGTGTAAAAAACCACATCTTCTATATTTACTCACTATTTGATATGCATTTGGATTTTTTACAAAATTTTCACATTGTGCTGCTGTAGAATGGGGGTGCTTACATCCCTGTGGTGTGATGCTTTTAATTCTTTTGGGAAAATAACAAAAAGGTGAATAATTGGGTCAAATGGAAGCTCTAGTTTTAGTATTTTTAAGGACTCTTCATACAAATGCAGAAAC